GGGAAGCCATACCAACTTTGTTTTGCTTTTCCAGCATGCAGCCCAGAACTTTCTGCCAAACCTGATTCTCCAAACCCTTCTCCATTGGATAGAGCCCGAGAACTCCATCCTCTTTTTATTTTTTATTTTTTGTCCTTTCCCACAGACTTAAAAATTGACCGCAGAGGCTTATGCTAAACCAGCCTGCACCACAAGTCAGGTGCACGGGCGCCAACCCTCAAGAGCTGTCACCACACCTGCAAGTCCAACGTGGAAAATTCTTTCCCCTGGGGTAACCTTGCCCCCAAGGGCTCCTCTTTGAAATGCAGAATGTCCAGGAGCAGGTAGAAGGAAGCATCTGTCAGGTGTAACAATCAAGAAAGCACTAAGCACAGTGGGGGGAGAGGAGGTAGGAGAATGATACAGAAGATGGGGGGGTGGGGAGACGAGAGACCCTGAAGATGGAGCAGGACACCCAACCCGACCCGGGCTGACCTGTCCACAACCCAGGAAGCAGAAGCCCTCTGTCTAGCATGGCCTTAGTCCCTAGACTCTGGAGTGGAGGATGCTGTGTGGGCCAGCTCCGTCAGCCACCACCTCGAAGTGGTGACTCGGTATCCTCATCTGGAATAGGCAGGCAACGACAGGACCCGCCTCAGGCACTGGAGGGTGAGGATTGAGTGCAGGAACAGGTGCAGGTGCCCAGCACAGCACCTGGCACACAGTCAGCCCTTGCCTGCCGAGATCCCAGCCAAGTCCTGCCCCTCCATGGAAGCACCTCTGACCTCCACGCTGAGCTCTTGGCACACTCGCCATCGGTGCCACGCAATATATTACCTAATTATATACCATCTTGAAACAATTAGGGAACAACTGAATACAGCATAATAAAATGGTAACTGAATCGCAGCTCTGAAATATGACCATCCTGAAGCCCACATTGCAAGGTGCCTGCTAGACACACACACAGATCGCACCCCGAGTGAAGGGCTCTGGCCCAGGCCCTGGACTCTCACCCAGCTCACTCTTCAGTGGAGCAGAGTCTCCTGTGTTATCGGTTTGAGGCTGGCTCTTTTCTCCCATGGCTGGTGCTACTCTCCCACTCAGGAAGTCCCCTGCACCCCAGCCTGGAAGCCCGGCAACACGGGGAGAATGCTGTCCCGGGAACGGGCAGCTTGGATGGGCATCAGCCTGGGCAGTTTTGCTCCAGACATCAGACAGTGGGCTGCACACTGCCTCTTGCCATCCCACCGCAGCCCAGGAGGGCCGAGGCTGTACAGAATCTGGGACAGGGGCTGATGGGACCGTCCAGCCGGGCCGCCTGTGGGCTGTGTCTGAAGCTGGAGGGTCTGGAGGGCCCTGGATATGCTCGCACAGGTGGTCCAGGCCGGTTCTCGGGATCTGCGGAATGCCTGAGCAAACACGGAGACGTTTATGTGCACTTGCCAGAGAGCTGAGTGTATGTGAAATGATAGAAAGAGCCCTCCGGGCAGACACTTCTTACAGAATGTACAGGTAAGGCAGCTGTCCAGGAAGGCTTCAAGGAGGAGGTGGAGTGGGAGATGGACACCGACAGGATGAGAAGGACTTGATGTGGAGCAGGGTCCGGGTGGCAGGAGCTGAGTGAAGCCCTATGCGCTGTGGCTACAGGCCTGGTTCAGAGTCAGCACCTGGGGGGACTCCTGGCCCAGCTGCCCTCAGCCCCTTCGACTCAGTCCTACCCCCGGGACGTGCTCAGGCAGTGCCTGCAACACTCCCACCCTGCAGGACCATGACCACCACAGGTGCTGCTGCCTGCCCCTGCCCTCTGGGCCGTCTCTGGGGGGCCCGGGCAGAGGGCTCAAGGCACTGAACTGGCTGTGGAAGACACCGGCGCTCCCCACCCGCACATCTACCGTTCCAGAACTGCTATGGTGCTCTGTGCGTGGCGTCTGGGGGGGCTTCTCAGTCAGTCATCGCAGGAGTGTATACTCTGCCTTCACTGTCTTCTCTCTCCTGCTGAGCCAGCCCCTCCCCCTCTGACAGGCTGCCCAGAGTACTCCGATGGTCCTACCCTCTGCTCTTCTCAAGAGAACGTTCTCCCATCATTCCAAACTGTGACGGAGTTTATGATTCAAAGTGCTTCCCCTCTGGGGATTAATTTTCAAAGACAGTGCCAGAGACAGATTTATTCAAAGGAATACATCTCTAAGGGAGAATTCGGGAACCCCGAAATGTTAAGTTTGCTTCTTTATTTTTTTTTTTTACCAACAGCCTTTACTGTGCACCTGCTTAATTCATTATTTTATTCCATTAACATGCATTGAGCTCCTTCTACATGCTAGGTGCTACCTGGGTGCTGAGGGCTCACATCACTGTCTAGTGTGGGAGAAAGAAACACAAACATAACCCCAACATGATGAGAAGTGTCTTCAAAGACCTTCCTGCTTGCGTTCAAGGCACCCACTTAAATAGCAGCATTTGCTGATTCAAACTGAGTCCTATCTGCTCACTAAAACAGCTCCCCGGAGGACTCTCACTGGACACTTTTAGACTCACACTTGAAATTAATAAAGCTGTATGTCGATGTATATTTTATAACTCACACACTTTCCAACTCAGCCTGGACTTCTCCTAGCTCATGTCCAATGAGAAGACCTGACTGCAGCCATTCTGAGCACTCTCTGGCCTGGATTTTCTTTGTGGTCTTATTTGGACTTTTCCAGACCGATCGCTTGGACCTGCTCCTTCTTCCAAGACTCCTGTTTGAATATACAATTTATGAGTCATTTGCTTTTTCTGCCTCTCTTTATGCTCTGGTTATATGTGGTACCTCCTAAGTTCCCCTCCAACCGCGTTAATAATAAATTACACACTTTACCACACCACGACCCACCACACAACTATACAGAGCAAAATATGGCATGCACTGAAATATTCAGAAGGTGAAAAATACCACAAAGTACATCACATATTCCAGGCGTAGAGACTTGTTCACCGGGATGATGTACTTTCACCCTGAAGAGCACTCTCCACAGCGGCATTAGGCCCCCTCTCCCCCCAGCCCTGCAAATCTGCTGCCAGGAGCTGTCCTACCCATTATGAAGAGGGCAGAAGCCACTCCTACGCCGAGGTAAAAAAAAAAAAAAATCTCCAACATACGGTTCAGTTCTAATTACATTAACCATTATTTCCCACATGTGGGAACGATGCATATTATGGTTTCTCACATATGTAATAGTACTTTGGGGGGGTCAACCAGAAATTGCGAACTGACGTTGGAATTGTCCCAGAAGAAGTTGGGCTGTGTGCTCATCACATCTGTTCCATGACTAAGGGGGCTCTGGGTCAAATGGCAGCTCTCCAGAAGGAAATCAGCTCAGCTGCGGAGCACGGTCACGAAAGGGTGCCTTAGTTCTGAAACCAAATGGTTAGAGACCAGCGGTGGCTCTGACCCTGGGGGGTCCCGGGTGACAGGGAAGAGGGGGCTGTCCAGGGTCACTGTGGCGGGGGAGAAAATAAAAGGGAGGGGAAGTGAAGGAGGGAGTAGTGAAGAAAAGAGATGGGGGGGAAGCAGGAACTAGGGAACAAGAAAGGGTAGCAGGAAGGAGGGGAGAACAGGTCGGGCAGAGGGGCAGAGAAATCAGCAACAAAATGCAGAGAGAGGAGGAGAGGGAAAGCCCGCTGGCAACAGGAGAAGGTGCAAGGAGCGCTCTTGCTGGGGTCTCCCCCCAGAGATGGCTCCCAGGGGCCTGTCCCTTCTTGCTCAGTTGATTAAGCACCTTCTAGCCAAACCTCTCGGCGAGTTCTTCAGAGAGTCCTACCCAGGAAGGCAGACACTGCGGACTTACCTAGACCACCCCCCATCTGGGTGGGTGAGTCACCCAGCAGAAAGGCCAACAGTGGAGGTGTGATACTTAGAAGGGACAATTCTGGACGCCCCACTCTTACTGGGTGACACCCCAGGGCCCAGCGGCTGGCCGGGGCTCTACCCCCGTATATGGAAAGAACTGGCCAGAGTAAGACCTGGGTTTCTGAGGCTGGCCCACACACTAAGGCCTGTCTGTGAACACTGCCACCGCTGAGATGCTTCTGACGTTGGAACCACATCTGTACTTTTTCAAAGCACTGAACAGAATCATACGTATCTGGGTGGGGGGGGCGGTCCTTAAAAAACACATTACTTCTCCTCTGTGGGGTCAATTTAAGGTTTTAGTGTCAAAATTAACAACAGCAAAAACTCAGGCCTCTTTCCCAGGGAAACAGACCTGACAGCACATACCGAGAAACGCAAAAATTAAGGGACCAAACAACTTAATTGGCCCCTGGAAACCCTTAGCTGGCAAGTCCCAGTCACACCCAGAGAAAGCATTCTGCCTTGTCTGAAAGACTTCCCCACCATGCCCTCCCCGCCATGAGTGCCCCCCACCGGAGCATCCTGCATTTCACGCATTCAACAAACGCCGAGCTCCTGAGTATAGAGTGCCCTCGTTACTGATTTCACTCCCAACACAACAGCAGAGCAGGAAGGAAGAACCATGTGATGGTAAGGATGTCAAATCTCAGCACCATCTTGATGGGAATCGTTCTTTCCCAGCCAAGGTCAGCCCCACCTGGGGGCAGAATAGGAACTTCCCGTACCATGGGACATCCGAGGAGCAGAGCCCATGCCCCGTGCCCGACGCCCACCCCTGATGCCACCCACACACAAACCTACACACACCTGTGGGCCAACATCCAAAACCTTTGCAGCGGGGACGGAGTGAAAAGCCCCCACTTCCAAGGAAAGCTTGAGATCCAGACTCCACACCCCTTCCAGCTCCCTGCTCCCTGAGAGAGGGGCCAGTGAGTCCCCGCTGTGCTGTGGTTGGGTCCTAGCCCTCACCCCTCATGTCAAAGGCGGGGTGCCAAACGCAGTGAGCTTTGAGCCACCTGCTTCTCCCCTGAGGGTAGCTCTGGGGGTGGGCCACGGGCAGGGCTCTGAGGCCACCTCAGGATGGGCCTCCCCCCCCCTCCCTGGTCATTTGCCGGGGGGTCTGTACCTGGAGCTGGAGGTACTGCCGCTCTGCACTGCCGGGTCGTCCGTGACATTAAAGAGCCCCGTCCAATTGGCCAGCTGGTCGCCACTCTGCCAACCAAACTGGAGGCCTCTGGCAAGAAAACGAGGCAGTCGGTACTCAGCACTCACCCGCGGGCTGAAACCCATCTAACCACAGAGCCTCCTTCCGTTGCCGTGCCGAGGGACACGTCACCTTGATCGCTCGCTTGCTGGAGATAAAGGGGATGCCCACCCATGAGGAGGACGATGATAAACCAAAGCCCGGTATCGTGTTCTCTGCTCATTTACCTCCATCCCCTCTCTCCGCCTCTACCAGCAGAGCTGAGGTTACACGCTATACACACGGGGAAACTGAGGCTTAGCGAGGTCAAGGTCAGAGAGCTCGGCTACCTCCTATGTGGTGAGTCCCTCAACCCCCACCGCTGGAGACTTAGACCGGAAGCGCTCTCAGGCTCCAGCACTTTGGCGGCCTCGGAGGGCCACACTGCAAAGCTTTTCATGCAATCCGGCTCTCCCAGGCATAAGGGTACACCTCCTGGCTGGAGACTCCACACCCATGGTCATCTCTGCTCCCTCCCCACCCCTGACTGAAATGATAGCAAAGGAATGTGAGCTCGGAGAGGAGGCGATGGAGGGGGGGGCCAGTGACAACACCATGGAAGATGAAAAGCAGATGGGTAATTAATTCCCCTAAGACCCGAAAGAGTGGAGCCCCAAATGTTTACGGGCAGTCGATCTCTTCCCTGTGCACAACTCAAGAAGGCTCTGAAACTGGGGGTCCGGGGCCACTGAGGGCAGGAGCGCAGAGTGGGGCTGAAAGTGGAAGGGCTGTTTCAGGTTTGTATGAGGAGCGGCGGGACACCCCCCCAACACCGGCTGCCCTCCTTCAGCCCACGCAGTGTGGGCACAGAACCGCCTGCCCCACAGACGGCAGGAGGCTGCGCTCCAGGTAGCTGACCCACAGAAGTTCTGCAATTTTCCTCATACATGGAGACACCAATCTGCAACCCACCCACCCCACACCCTGTCTCACAGGTGGCGAGGGTGGATTTTAGGAGGGAACCAGACCAAGTCAAAAAGAAAAAAAACAAAGCAAAACAAACAAACCACTATGGAGGAATAGGACTGTGTCACCTGATCACCCTAGCACGGGGGTTCTCCACCCGGCACTACGGACGTCCGGGGCTGGGTCATTCTGTGTTGTGGGGCTGTCCTGTGCATTGCTGGGTGCTGAGCTGTGCCCCTCCCCGTCTCTACTCTCTAGATGCCAGGAACACCTCAACCCACACCCTCCATTGGGATGATCGAAAATGTCTCCAGAGGTTGCCAAGCATCCCCTGGGGGGGCCAAATCCCCCCAGCTGAGAACCACTGTCCTAAGACAATGCCCACCTCACAGAGCTCCAACGAACCTTCCTTCCGGAGACTGAAATATGAACAGGCAGTGAAAGGCCACCAACCAGCACGCAAGAAAAGCTTTAACCTCAAAGTCAGAGAACCAAACAAACAGCAAGGGGCGCCCACCGAGGAAGCCTGGGGGAGTGCGTGCCCAGAGCCCGTGACTACCCCTTTCCCTCCCCCTCGCCCACTGGCAAAGCAAGCAACGGGAACAGAAATGCCCGACGTGTTATCATTGTGAGGCTAAGGCTAACCTTGAGTTGACTCCATGTGGAAAAAAATAATAAAAGAAGAAAGTCATTCAGAAAACATCAGTACTTAACTTTCGTGGGAGGATAATCTATTGAATTATTTATTCCAAGAAGGGAGCTGGGCTTTTTATCCTCTTACTTTAGGACCCTGTGTGTTGTGGGGGCTGAAAGCTTCCCAGTTCCCTGAAGAAACTGTGCTAGGCAGCCAGGAGGGGAGCAAACCGCCTTCGGGTCTAGGAGGGGTAGCTGGCAGAAGATGCCTCAAGTCCAGGAAGCCAGCTTCCTGCTTTGGGGTTCCCCCACCACATCCCCCTCTAAACAGACAGGGGAGCCTCAGAAAGACCACAGCTTGGGGCACCCCAGGAGGCTGGACCCAGGGCTCCAGGAGCCTCCAGAGAGCAGTGAGCAGACTGACCAAGGCCGGGGTGGCCCTGGGAGCCCCCCAGCTGCTTTGTTCCACACAAACCTGGGGTAGTGGGGGGAGGAGGGTGGATGGAAGGCCCCTCAAGGATGAGAGACTCAGTTTCCCACCAGCTGGTGGATAAAGCTCAGTTAAAAGAAGAAAAGGAAATGAACTCTTCCTTTCACATCGAGTTTGTGAAATAAAAGGTATTACCACTTTTCCATCATTCATCAGCAAGTTGCTTGTGTCGTACTTCACAACTGACTGAGGACATTTTTCCTTTATCTTCAAGCTATTTTTATTTTATGATATAGGTAGATATATTTCAAATATTTATTATATTATTCTATATTTATTGAACAGCCCTGCCAGGCTGGGTGCTGGGGTTCAACAATGAACCAACCAAAAAAAACTCTGCCCCAAGGACACTTAACTGCTACCAGAGGGAGACAGATACAGTGACAGTAAGCTAACAGGTGACACGTGTAGTGTGTCAGATGCCGACAAGCGCTGTGGGAAAAAGAAAGGGCAGCGAGGGGGATGAGGAGTTTGGGGTGGTGAGGGGTGCTGGTCCACACTGGGTGGCCAGGGGGCCTCTCTGAGAGGGTGACATGGAGCAGGACAGGAAGTGGGTGATGAGGCAGCAGGTGGCTCCCGAGGAAGAATGTTCCAGCACCGGCACCTGTGGTGGCCCTGAGGGGTGTGATGGCTTCTTCCGGGGCTGGCAAGAGGGTCTTTGTAGTTGGGACTGAGCCAGGGCAGGTGGCAGGTGACAGGGCATGGGCTGAGAGAAGCAGCGTCACCTTGCTGTGCTCCCTCAAAGCCATCTAAGAGGGAGGTGGGACCACGTCATCTCCTGAGGAGCCAAGAACTCCACTGGGCCACCAGGGAGTCTGCGAGCGTGAGGCCCTCCCCTACCTCCCACCACTCTGGGTCTCCAGAAGGATCTGGTCAGAAAAGGCCTCTCTGAGAAGGTGCCAAGACCTTCCCACCCAGATGCAAGTGGAAGTGCCTGCCAGCTGGGAAGCCTTTTCAGTGGGATTAATGGGCATAATTACCAGGTTCCACAAGTTCCTTTGCCCGTCCCCACTCCTCACTCACTAGTGACTCACGGTATTTCTCTGTGAAGGGCCGGATGGTAACCTTCCCCCCAGAAGAACCTCAGGGGGAAAGGGAAGTGGATTCATCCCTGTGGGGACTTTCATGTGGGGCCACAGAAAAGCTGCTGTAGGTGGGGGCTTCCTGAGGGAGGAGAGGAGTTGGGGGGGCTGTCCTCCCTACAAGCACTGCCCAGAGGTGGCAGAGGTTTGGCCTCCTTGAGAGCCCCCAGGCCTGGAACCCATAGCCCCAGGGAGCAGATAGAGGCTCCTGGATTCTAAGACCTTCCATGGCTCTGCAGAGGCTTCTGGCTAAGGAACGGCTGGGCCAGGGCCCAGGGGTCTCAGTACTGACAGTGCTGGGGCAGGGGTACACACGGGGGTACACACGGGGACACCCAGCCGTGGGAGGGGTCCAGAGAGAGAAACCAGACAAGCTCCAGGCACAATTGTGAGACCACCTTGCCACCTCCAGTCTATGCACCGCAGAGGAGCCTGGGCCCCCCAGGCCCACATCCAAACGTCGCGCTCCCTGGGCCAGCGCTCCAGACCTCCCCTTCCAGAGAGGCTGCTGCAGCAGGAGCACAGGGTGAGGGAGGGGCTGGGGCTGCGCACACAGTCTTCGTCTGTGCTCCGGCACTAAGACCCCCACCGGCGGACTACAGTGAGCAGAGTGGGGACCCCCTGCCTCCTTGGAGGGTAGTGGGGTGATGTGGACACGGGGGGCCCTCAAACACTCATGCATGCATTCACTCCAACCACTCTCCTTTAAGAGCACCCACTAATTCTATCTTCTCCATCTTAGGACACGTCCCCAACTCTCCGATGTTAGCAGCCCACGCTAACTAACAACCCTCTCCCCCAAACCTGGGGAACCCCGTCCAGCTGAACTTCTCCAATCATTTCATTCCTGCCCCAGCCTTTGCTTCTGCTCGTTCCTACAACTCCGATGGGTTGAATTGTGTCCCTCCAAAATTCCTATGTTGACATCCTCACCCCTATTACCTGTGAAATAGGGTCACTGCAGAGTTAATTCATTAAATTAGGATGAGGTCATGCTGAAGTGGGGGGGGGGGCTACTCCAATATGACCGACTGGTGTCTTTATAAAGAGGGGAAATTTGGACATGGGCATGTACACAGGGAGAACGCCAAGTGAAGATGAAGGGAGAGATCTACGAGCCAAGGAGGGCCAAAGATTACAGGCAAACCAGCAGAAGCTGCAGGGCAGACATGGAACAGATTCTCCCTCACAGCCCTCTGAAGGGACCGACCCTGCTGACACCTTCGTCCCAGATGTCCGGCCTCCAGAACTGCATGACAGCAACTTTCTGTTGAAGCCACCCAGTTCGTGGTCCTGTGACAGCAGTCCTACCTGACAATACACTTGAGTTCCCTCTCTAATCCTCCAGGGCAGGAACTTACTCTTCCTTCAAGACTCCATTCAGATGCTCAGCCTGGGCCCGCAGTTCCCCAGCTTGGCTCTGCGGGGCACTGGGGTACCCTTTGTGACTGCAGAGGAGGGAGGGGACATGGCAGAGGGTGGGGATGAGGAACAGGGAGCCAGGTGGGCAGGACTGAAGCCCCCACTCTGTGTCAAACGAGTACCCTCCTTTCTCCATTTAAGACACAGGCTTCCACGTTGTCTGAGGCTCTAGGAGTCTCTCTGTCCTGGAACCCCAGCACACTTGGCACTTAGTATGTAGGAGAGTTTGTCAACTTTTCACGAGTGCTTGGTCCTTCTCTCCGAAGGGCTCCTTGAGAGGAAGCCTGTTTCATACATCTTGGCAACCAGAGACTAGGGCAGTATTATCCAACAGAAATACACCAGGAGCGACAGATGTCATCTAGAATGTTCTGGTAGCCACATTATAAAAAAAAATAAAAATAAAAAATATCAAACATCATAAAATTCCATAGAACTAGCTATACACAGACACACAA